CTGAATTCCTCGGGGGAAGCGGCTCTGGCTTTGGGGCTCTTCCTCCTGGCCGGGTCTCGCCCTGGATCCCGTCCGGGCCTAGATGGCATCTTCACTCCCCACGAGAACAGCATGGCATGGCTCAAGGGACCCTCAGAGGAGACACACAGCACGAGGCCTCAGTTAACCTCCTCTTGCCTGCCTCGCTCTGTGCAGGAAGTGGCAGCGACCTCGGCCCTCCTAAGACAGACGCCATGTCGCTGGAAACCAGGCCAGACATGCCCAGTTCCCAAGCCCCACCTAGTGGGTGGCTGTTTTGAAACACTGATATGTGGGCAGTAAATCTGGGGAGGGTCCCGGACACCACTGAAGTCTGGTGCGCTAAGGGGCGGGGAGGGAGGCCCGGGCCAGGCTCCCACAGCCTGGGCGCCCGGCCAGAAGGGGAGATGGTCTGCTCGGGCAGGAGGGCTCTGGGAGGCAGAGGGTCACTTCCTGGGCCAGGGCCCCCCAGCAGGAAGGCTGCGGGGTCTAGGCCTCCCCAGCTCTATTACTGGCCCCCAGTGTCCTCAGGCACCAGAATAATTGTAATTGAGAACCTGATTCTGTGGAGGTGCCTGGCAGCGTCTTGATCGGAACGGAGCCCCTGCCTCTCCGTGCACCCCGGAGAGGGCACTGGGGTCACCTGCTGCCCCTGCCTGGTGCAGACACCCAGTCTGCTCCAGCCCAGAGCCGAGCGCTTTCCGGGCACCGGGAAAGCCTTTCTTCCTCCTGCAGCTGACTCCCAGGGGCCACCTGTGCGCACCCTGTGGGCCGGCTCGCCCAGGTCCAAACACTGCCTGGCTTTACCCTAGGAGCCCTGCAGCTTCCGTCCCCACCTCTGACATGGGAAAGCCCTGCCTCGCTCTTCGCTGCAAAAATCCCAGCCCCGGCTCTCGCAGTATTAATTCTTCATTTTACCTATCATGATGCTTCCAGTAAGTAAATAAATGAAACCAAAATAACTGCTTCTATCCAGAAGTAATCAAAATGTATTTAGTGCTTTAGTAAATAGTTTGGTTTTCTAATTTTCCTGTAATTAGCAGAGAAAGAATTAAAATCAATTCCTCATCCGGCAGATAAAAAATGACACTCCGCTTTGGCCTTATACACATCCAAATTTTAATGTGCACAAGAAACACAAATTCATAATTGTTCTGTAATATAATACGTATCCAATATTAAGCACATTTCTATGACATTTATCTCCCCGATCACAGCTTAATAAAATTATAATTATGACCTTTCAAAGCATTATCGCCTGATCCACGCTTAATCGGCATTCTTAGCTGGAATCCTTGGCTGCTGGGGGAGCTTCATCTCGTCCTCCGGCAGCCTGGGTGGTTTAGACTCCGAGCAGGGGGGGTCCCTGCTGCCACCCGCAGCCCCGGTGCCCACGCAGAGACTTCAAAGCCGCCGAGGAGGCACAGGGGTGTTTGGCGGCTCAGAGATTCACGTGGGAGCCTGAGGTGCGGCCGCCCACGGGGCTGGTGTGATGGCGGGTCGGGGCGCAGTGCAGACTGAGGAAGGGGCGCAGGGGCCTATTTAGGGCCCCGCTGGAAGTCAGCCCAGACCCTGCTGGCACACACCCGCCTCAGCCGGAACGGGCCTGAGCGCCCGCGTGGCTGGGCACCAGCAGATGCCCCTTCCTTGCCAGGCCTAGAGTGCTCCTCTCCGGCCTTGCTTCCATACCACACCGACTGACAGGACGACAGCATCTCTCCCTCCCATTCACAAAGGCTCGCTAATCCTCTTGGATGGGAGGCTCTGGCCCCACCTCCCGCCAGTCCTGGGAGCTCCGGCGAAGCTGAGAGAATGCTTGGGACACTTACAGCGCCCCTCTTGCGGGGCGCTGGTCCCCAGAGGGGGCCGTGGCCCACGACGGTGACTTAGCCGTGAGTGGCTGAAGGTGGCGACGGGCAAGCGGTTCCTTCTGCCGGGCTGGGCTCGTCCTCCACGCCGCGGCAGACTGCACCGGGCGGCTCCGCACTAACGGCCCTTGGACACTTGCTCCTAACGGCAGCCAGAGGGGACGTGAAGGGAAGATGGGGTTTGTGCTCCTGTGCAGGTGTCACCCCATTCGGAACTTGCAGACCTGTGTGATTTCAACTGGGAGGCGAATAAAGCCCTGAGCAGCTCCCGGCTCCTCAGGACAGAAACCACGCACTGCACGTCGCTCATCGGGCAGCTTCGGGCCTCGGCAGAGGGCACGACTTACAGTTTCTTCATCCCATTTGCTCGGTGAGTCAGGCTCTGACGGAGCTGCTTTGTTGTCTAATATCTGGGGGCGGGGGGGTTCTTTTGGAATATCCACAGCGTGTTTATTTAAATACTGTGTGTTAAAGAGGCATCTGCACTTGTTTTGATCCTTCCGAGGCAGTGCAGCGTCTCCTGCGTCCCCAGTGCACCCCGGATCCAGCAACGACCATCTGGGAGGTGCTGGCCAGCTTACCCTGAGAAAGGCCCGAGCCCGAGCCCAGCCCTGCTCCCCGGGGTCTCCCCACGTCTGGCTTGCGACACCACAGCAGGACCAAGACCGTGGGCACAGCAAGCGCCCGGGGAAGGGGACTGACTCTTCTTGCTAGTTTCATGGTTCTTGGGGTGTCAGCATAACAGCAGGATTCTTCCCTGACTCAGCAGAACATATGGGAAAACTATACTTAGCTGACACGCTCAAGTCCGTCGCCCCCACACCCAGCCCCTCCACCCCAGGAGTCCTCATACCAAACCAATTCTGCAGGGTAAAATACATCGTTAAGGGCCCTCCCTGGTGGCACTGCGGGTTAAAGCACAGCTCTGAGAAGCTAAAGCCACTTCAGCACAATTTCGATCCCCGCCTGCCCTGGAGGTGACCACATGGCCTGGCAGACCTCTCCTGACCCGCCCGCTGCTCCCCTCAGCAGTGGACTTCGTCAGCTGGCCTGTCTGCTCCTCACTCTGTCTCTGGTGAAGCCTCTCACAGCCCCTGCACCTCTGACCTGTACCCAAGTTCTATATGCATAAATAATCTTAAAAACAAAAATTGTTAAATTGGGGGAAGTGTCCCTTCCTCCTGACCTGGCCAGTGCCCTGGACACAGCCTGGAGGCGCGAGTCCCTGCTCAGCTGCCGTTGGAGATTGTTCCTGCAGCGGCTCGTCAGCCACAGGGACACACACGGTCCCACGTCTGAGACCAGAGGACACAAAATGCAGAAAACAAGAAGGCACGAGGCAGCCTCTGTCTCGTCGTGAACGTCAGACAGACAGACCGAGGACACGCTTCTCAGCCTGAGAATGGCAGTGACGAGCTGGAGTTACCTGGGCGGCCTCCTCCTGCTCCTTCCAGGGCCTCGAGGCCCGAGCATAAATCAGATGCCAGTGGTGTGCGTGCCGGTGCCGCGCACAATGGGTCCTTGAGATTGTTCTAGAAAGGCAGCACCCCTGGACACGTCACTACCAACCATCGGCTGTTCTCTTAGAGTCTCAGTCATTGCTAGGATGGCTCCTGGCCAAGTCTAATTCATTAAAACACGAGCAATCTATGAACACCTGCAAGGAATTGATTAGTAAGTTGGGGCTTCTTTAACTGATGTTTATTCTGCGCTTCAAACACACTAAACAAAGAACTCATGAAGACGGTCGTCGACATCGAGCCAAGTTATTAGACCTGTAGCTTATAAAGTGGGGGTTGTAGGAGGGCACGGCCCTGGGGGCCCGAGCCTGCGCCTCCATTTTCTTCTGTGAGGTGAGCATAGTTGCTTTTCAAGTAGAAGATGGTGATGTGACGACAGGCTGTCTGAGAGCCGTGATCTAACTGCGTTTCTATGGGTGGTTAGTATACCCCCCAATCTTTAGCACCCACTCCCACATCCCTCAATAGCTCAACTCCTGGCTCTATGAACCCAAAGTTGTTCGTGGCACCCAACTCTTTGCACTCTATACCCCCAACTCTATGCACTGAGGGGGAGACTGTTGGCATTGTGTGCCGAAAGGCAGGGAGGGGGTTTGCCAGGGGCCCCGGGAGGAGAAGGCGCCTGGTGAGGGGTGCGGGCCTCGGGGCCCTGGTCGGGACAGGACTGGGGGCAGGCGCAGTGGGCTCCGAGAGATTTTCAAGGGTTCAGTTCCTTAGCCTGCGGCGAGCAGGGAAGGAACCCACAAGACAGCTCCGGCCCTGGGAAGCAGGTGGGGTCCGGGGCTTGGGCGCTTTTGGTCCAGCCAGCCGCTGTGAGCGGGAGGGGCGGTCCCCTCCGCCGAGGACCCTGAACGGGGCCCGGTGCCGACCGCAGGGGTGTGGGGTCTCGGAAGTGCCTTTGCTCTGCTTTGACTGCTTGGGTGGGTTTGCAGACAACGTGTAAAGGCTGTGGTAAGGTTTCCTGTGACTCCACTGCCCTTTCCTGGTTTTCTCCTAAGAACTGATGGTTCTCAAGGTGGCTGCTGAGGTGGGTGAAGGGGAGCCCCCCACCCCCACACTGGGGCAGGGCTGTGACTTTGAAACCAACGCGAGGGGCTGGGTTTCCGCCACCCTGTGCTCCCCAAGGTAGGAATCGGTTATTCACCCGGTTGCCCAGGCATGAAAGCAAACGTTACGGAAGCAAAGCCAAGTTCCAAGGGCTTAACAACTGCCCCCCACACTGGGGGGCCAAGGGCTGAGCCTGCCTTCCACACCCCCAGGTCCCCAGAGCAGGGGGGACGCGACTGGCAGTGCGGAGACCTGCTCTCCCTGCTTCAGGAGGTCACCCGCGCCCCCTCAGCCCCTCAGCCTGTCTCCCCAGATGTCGGAGACCTTTGGGGTGGCTGGCAGCGGCCGCTCTGGTAGTGCCGGCTAACACGGTGATGGCGCTCCTCTCGCTGTTCTACGCCGCTGACCGCCGTGGCGGGAGCTCGGCCTGGCACTGCTCCTGCCCCCGACGCTCTGTGGCAGCCCGGGAGGCCCCCACAGCAGTCTCTGGGGGGCAGCTGCGTCTGCAGGAATCACCGCGCTGTGCCTCTAGGTTACTTCCTCCGTCTCACAGGTGGCCCCGAGTGTCCAAGAGCCGGATGCCAGGCTGCAACATGTCCACGCCGGGGGCGGCTGCGGAGGCCGTGGTTGGGCAGGCCAGGCCCTCCGCGGTGATGGACACAGCGCTCTGCCGGCCTCGGTCCCCGCCACACTGTCTGAGCCAAGCAGGGCACTGGCCCCTGAAGCCCCGCAGGTCGGGAAGGCGGCAGTGCGGCCGTGAAGCCCGGCCGGAGGCCGCATCCGGGGCGTCTGCACGTCAACAGCGTGAGGACCCGCGCTCAGCTCTCGGTGAGCTGACAAGCCGTGGCCAGAAGTGGAAGCCCGGCTGAAAAAAAAAAAAAATAGGTGCTTCCTGAGGGCCCTACTGCTGCAGCCCAGAACACAGGGCCAGCAGGCGCCTGGGGTGGGCGGGCTTATGTCCACGGGACGGGTGGGTCGCCCCCCGCCTTGTGCACAAGTCAGCTCCCAGCGCTCAAGAAACAATCGGGGAAAATCTGGTGAAGAGCGAGTGTTGCCATGATGGGTTCACGGTCAGCCCTGGGCAGGCCTGGCAGGTGGGGGTCTTCTCAGATGCCCAGAGGCGAAGGCGTCCGGTGGGTCTGGACGAGCCTCCGCCGGACTCTCAGTGCCTCCCAGGCTGAGCTGGTCACCCAGGCGTGAATGCGTTACCAGGATCCTTCAAACCCAACATGAGCCTGAAGCCAGGCACCACCAAGTGTTTGCACTACGCTAGGAGACAAACAGGCTTAGCAGTGCCCACAAAAATTAAAAGAATGGAGAAAAGTAGCAGGATGAAATAAGTGAAATTACTACCAGACAGAGTTAAACATTGCATAAGTGACAGTCAAGTAGACACCTTGGAAATTTCAGTGTTGTTTGGCTACAGGAACCCCAAGTAGGCAGCTAGTAGCAGAATGGGTCATGGGAAAGTCAGTTTGTGAACTGGAAGCTGAGGATTCTCCAGTGCACGTGGGAAAGCGGAGAAGACTACAGAAGTATGGAGGCAGCTACTTCAGTATCCGCCCACAGCTCCTAGAAGAGAGAGAGAACATGGAGAAGAGAATATAATGAATGCAATAATTGCGGGAAGGTTTGTGTAGCTAAAAACACAGCTACACCATAAAATAAGGAACAAAAAGAGAAAGATCCTCCAAGTGCAATAACCCACCCAACTCCCACGGGTGTGTGTCCTGTAGATGACGGGCTCCATGAGCCCGTGAGGAGGCCTAGGTGTGACAACACCCAGCAAGAGGCTGCAAAGCGACATCTACACATGCACACAGACACCACACACACAGTCACGCAGACACAGTCACGCAGACACACACAGTCACGCACATAGACACCACACACACACATTCACGCAGACACAGTCACACACAAACACACAAGACACACAGTCACACACAGAGACACAGTCACACGCACACAGCACATGCCACAGGCAGCATCTGAGTGAAGTCTGCGGGTGGCACCGGTGTCAGAGTCTGGCTGGGGAACCCAAAGGTGACCCTGTGGGGTTCGCTCTTGTAAATGGGCACAATCCATGAAGAAAATGCAACGTCCTGCCGTTGCTATGTCGTGTCTTACAGCCAAGAGGCTTCCAGATGTAAGTCAGCTCCCAAGCCAGTCAGTGGTGATGTGGCGTGTGCCTCCCGCCACGAGCGTGGCCTCCCGAGCCCAGGAACTGTAGGCAAGAGTGTGACGGTTTGGGAAAGAGACTAACTCTGTGGTCACTGAAACGGGCTGCCGCGGGGAGGTAACAGCGCAGAGGGTCCAGCTGAGACTGGGCCGCTCAGCCGCAGAATGGATCAACTGGCCACCTCTCTGCCGGGTCAGGGCAAGGATGTGGGAAAATCAGGTCTGCTTTCTCAGCACTGCTTCACGTTCCAAAGAGGAAGTGGACCCCAAAATAAAGCATCTTTATTTTATAAGAACTTGAATGTTTTTAGCCCATTGAAAATATTTTAAAGGTAGAGGATGGTCACTTCTATTTCTAGTTTCTCAATATACGGGCTTTTTAACTTCACCCCCAATCTAGGGTTGTTAATTCTCTAGTTCTAAACAAATCTCACGTCACAGGTAACACTGGATGAGACAACACATGGCTTTAGAAAGTCCAATGAAAGAGCAACATCACAAAACTCATGAAGAATCTTCTGGAAGGATTAGGGCTCACTTGGAAAAACGACATTTTTGTCCATAGCAAACCTCACTTTTGGGCCATTTTTCAAAATCTCTTTGTGGCTTCTCTCGGGAATACATTTTAAAGTGCTCCAGATCTCATTATGGTGTCTTGGGAAGCGTCTGAAGATCGGGACCACCGCAGCTTTCTGACCGACGTACGATATTTGGTTATTTGAAAAGCCGTCCAGATGAGATGGAATATAGTCACACGCCCACAGATTGAAATTTCTTGAAACGTGTTGCCTTTTTTCTACCGGGATCTTCTTGCGCCCCAAGCCCTGGGGAAGAATTACAGGAAGATTAGAAGGAAAATATTCAGGATCACAGAGCTCAAGGTTTTTAATAAAACCAGTCACTGACCTTCTGTGCTTAAACGCACAAGACAACCTTCCAGAGACGCCCTGCACCGGCCCTGTGGACCCGACGCATCATCCTGGGGGCAGGGGGACAGGGCTGGACTTTGTCCTTGAGGCCAGAGGGACTGGACTTCACGGAGACATAGGACCAGAGCCAGAAAGACCACAGGCGAGTGTCAGCCTGGACTCCCAGGCACTCCAAGGTGCTCTGTGTACCGAGGGGCTCGTGAGCTGCCCCGCTGGCCACGTCCCCAGCTGGCCACGTCCCCAGCTGGCCACGTCCCCAGCTGGCCATGTCCCCAGTACTCTATGGGATGCACATTTCTTACTGCAGGAGAAGCTCACCCCCGCCCCCGAGGGCTCCCATGGAGGGGCAGCACCTTTGGTCTGTGCCCCCAGGCTACCTCCCTACCTCTCAGCCCTTCATGTGAGCCCCAGAATTACTGTGTGTTCCCCACCATGGGGTCGGACCGGCCTACTAGAGAAGTGAAAAAAGAAACCAGTCGGTTCGGGCAAAAGGCCGGAAGGGACCGGGCTCCCTGCACAGAGCGCAGAGTGAGCTGGGCTCTCCACAGGCGTCCGGAGAGCGAGGTCAGCTCGGACCCGGCCCCTGCGAGCAGAGCTGGAGGAAGGGCTGTGTGGGAACAGCCGGGCTCTGGGGGTGCCCAGGCTCGTGCACACAGATGGCCCCGGAGGACAGGGTGGCGCAGAGGGACACGCGCCCCCCCCCCCCGCCTTCCCAGTGAAAAGAAGTGGGGGGGCCTGAGGAAGGCACTGAGCAGGGCTGGTATTAAGGTCTAGGTACTTGCTGTGAAAGTGACCGTGAGAAGGTGGTCTCTTCTGAATCCACAAGGGAGGCAGGGAGGGAGGGGGAGACAGAGAAGGAGGGGAAGAAGGGAAGTTGGGGGGGAGGAAGCCAAGCTGGAACAAATTCCAGACTTTCAACTTGACAGCAGAAGCCGCGTCCCTGGGCCTCTGGCAGGCGGCTTAACTGTGCCCCTGAGGATGGTCAGGAGAGCGGGGCCAGCCCGGGCTCCCCACAGAGAAGCCCCTGCAAAGGGAGAGACTGGGAGACGCCCGGAGGACCGGCCTTGCTCCTGGGGGGAGCTCTGGCAAGTTTCTCCTCAGGGCACAGAGTGCCACGCAGCTCTCCCACCCTGCTAGCCAGCCCCGCCCTGCTCTCTTCAGGGAGCTCGTCAGCAGTTAGCCTGCAGGTTACCACTGGCAGCACATCGGGAAAGCATGAGCAAATAAACCCAAGCTAGCGAGGCCGGGGGCGTCAAACGTGTAAATATGACGAACAAAATAAAATGTCAGAAATAAAGCCCAAAATGTAAATGCTTCTAACTGTCCAAATGGCTAGACTCTCATATAAAGAAACTATGGCTTTTTTAAAACACTTGTTAGTTCTATTTATGATAAAAGCAAACCCAAAAAGAAAGACTAAAATTTTAAAACATAGGAGACAAAAGTTTTGGAAAACAGAACAGTCCAGAATTAAGAAATGCAAAGAACTATCACTAACAGAGAAGGAATATATTTTCTTTTTAAACACTTGTGAAAATTAATCTTGCACAAGCTAAGGTGACCTTTATAACTGAAGAGGTGGGGATCGTGGGTAGTCCCCTATAAAACATACTATAGGCCCTATAGCTACATACTCGCAAAATATCTAGGGTGGCTCTTTAAGAACTCTTAAACTTACAGACAATTCAAAATATTCTTCTAATTTTTTTTAGTTTAAAGAAGCTAAAAATTAAGTCATGGACTATTTGGAAGTTATCACTACAAATGATAATGAGAACTTGCTAGAAAAGTCTTTGGGCTATGTCCAAAGCAATAAGGCAAGGAATATTCATAGTTTCAATGAATTTATTACCAAAACAATTGCAAGTCTATGTACTAAACGTACAACTGAAATAACAGTAAAATAAGAGTATTCAAATACATTTGAAAGTTACAAGATAAATTTTTACATCCACAAAATAAATTAATAACTGAGGGAGAAATTACAAAGATATTGGGGAGGTGGACAGCTTATTTAAAACGATATCAAACCCAAATAATTTTATGGGCAAATTCTACCTAACCTTCATTAAGTTGAAAGTCTGTACAGTATGTAAACTCTTCCAGAATGTAGAGAAAGTTGGAATGTTTCCAAGTTTTTCTACAAGAATCGCATAACTCTGGTAAAATATATGTGTTATAAAATTTTGTTTATATCATTAGCAAGATAAACACTTATGTGTGTATGTTTGCACATGAATTGCAAAAATTCTCAAATTTTACATACCAGATGATTAATGAATCACCAGCATGAAATTGTGAGGAAGGAAAATGAAGGTACAATTTTTTTTAATTTTATATAATTTTGTATTATTTGAAAAATTTAAAGATCATGTGTCGCTTTGGTAATTTAGAAGCCATTTTAAAAATTCCATTTAGAGAGGTGACCAAGGATTCTGTATTCGACATTCTGCCAGAGGCAAACCAGATTTTTCAGGTTAAACCACTTCAGTTTAACTTTGATACTGTAGCTGAGGAAAGTGTAACTTTGGGCAAGTTGTCTAACTTCACTGACTGTTTCCTCATGTCTGAGTTGGGAATAAGAGTAATTAACCAAAGGGTTGTGAGGATTACATGAGATAATATGAAATGCTAATATATGGCAAGGACTTATTAACTGGTGACTATTATTACCATTATCATCACCATCATCACCGCGGCCACCACCATTACCACCATTATCACTACCACCATCACCACCACCACCATCTATCATCATCACCATCACCACTACTATCATCACCACCACCATCAACATTACCATCACAACCATCACCATCACCATCACCACTACCATAACCATCATCATCATCACCATCACCACCATCACCATTATCACCATCACCATCATCACTATCACCATCACCACTATTATCACCACCACCATCACACCACCATCTTTACCATCATCATCTTGTCTCTACTATTATCACCGTCATTATCATCACCATCATCACATTATCATCACCACCACCATCACCATCACCACACTAACACTGTCATCAGCATCACCACCACCACCATCATCATCACCATCATCATCATGGATGTTCATTTCAGGACCAGTAAGGACTCAGAGAATGTCCATGTTATTAAATATACCTTAGACATGTTCACCCTGCCCTATCTAGTTTGAGAACTCCTAGCCACAGGGGCAGGGGAGCCCTGGAAGTGTGGGTCTTCCGAGCTGAGAGGGACCAAGAACAAAGCACAAACTGTATTTGGAGACTCACTCTGTGGTGTCTGTAAGATGTGTGTGAGCTAGTATGTAAGATAGCTCACTGATAACTCACATTGATTACATGTTGCGTGGATAATTTGGGGAATCCTTCGGCTCCACAAAACATATTAGTAAAATTAATTTCACTTAGTCCTTTGTAGACAAGGTGGCTACTAGAAAAAGCCAGAGCACACATGCAGTTTGCGCCGTTTCCACTGCAGCGCCAAGTGCTGAGAAACTGCAGTTTCCCCAGGGAAGGCCTTGGCCTCCGGAGAAGAGACCACCCTGCCTCTAGGGCCCGCTTTGAGCCCTGCTTCTAGACGCCAGACACTTCGTGGGCAGCCCCTTCTCCCAGGACAGAGCTTTAGGAGAGCTCCCCGCTGGGGGCGAGCCACAGAGCCGTGGAGAAGCAGAGCAGAGATGTCCGCAGCAGCAGGAGCGACTCGGAAAGCCGCACAGACTGGAGAAGGCCACGCCGCTTTGCGACAACCCACACGAGACTGTCCCTCCCGCTGTGTCCCATGCCGGGCTCAGTGCCCTGGCTTCCACGGGGCTCTGGGGTGCCGGGCCCTGGCGCCCGGGCCAGGCCTCAGCGCTTTGTGGGGCACACTCACCGTGTCCAGGTAGCAGCCGGAGGTCTGAAAGCTGTGCCGGTTGTCGTGAGCCGAGAAGGGGAAGTTGTTATTCACGGCTTGCTGGGAGAGAGGAGGGGGCAGAAGGCGATCAGAAACCCTGAGTCAGAGCGGCCGTGCTGTGGCGGGCTGAGCGGGGCAAAGCGGCTCTACTCGGCAGGGCCGTCCCCAGAGATGACCGCCCGGTGCGCACTTCGGCTCAAGGCTTTGAAGCTGACATTTTTGTCAACTCGCCGGAAACAAGACTCTTTTGCAACACCTTAGAGGCAAGGAAGGGGAAGCTTCTAGGTCCGTGGACCTGAAAGCTCGGTGTCCTTTGAGGCCACCTAACCAACTTCTAGGGTTCTTCCCATGGGGGCCTTGGGAGACCAGAGGCCCAAGGGGCAAGGGGTTCGGGAAGGACACCCCAGCTTCTCCTCCCTGGCCCCCCATCTGGCTGCTCACCCCTCCCTGGCGTCCGTGAAGCAGTGGTGAGCTTTGGCCAACGTGCTCTGTCTTGTGCGCGGACAGTCCAACTGGACCATCAGGGGCAGTTGGGGGCTTGCTCTAGAGAGTGTCTGGACCGCCATGGTGGCCAGGGTGTGTGAGAGGGGGTGTCCCAGCCTCAAGGGGCACTAGGTGGGGAACGAGCAGTTGCTGAGAAGCAGGCGCGTCCGAGATGCCGTCGTGGGGTGCGGGGACTGTGGCCCGGCCAGCGCAGTGGACTCACCTTCTCCCGGATCTTGTAGATGGGGGGCAGCTTCCGCTCCACCTGCTGAGACAACTGTGGGCTGTGGGACTCCTTCAGCGTGGCGCTGGTGATGGACTCCGGTGTCTTCTGCGTGAGCCCGATGTGCGGGAACTGGAAGAAAGCACACGCCTTGCTGCGAACCAGGCCCGCTGGCGGCGCCCAGCACGGGGCCTCCTCTGCAGAGTGACTGAGAGGCAGGGCGGGCGCCTGGCGCGCGGTGGGAGTGGCGTAGTCTTGGTAATGTTCAAGTGTTCTTTCCAAGACAAAAAAATCCTGCAGCGGCCTGAGGCCTCACGGGCTGTTTCCAGTTACCGGCCCACCCAGCCGAGGGGGCGCCTGGCGTCTCTCTGCGGCCTGGGTGGGTGCACCCGAGATTGCTGCTCTGTTCTGGCAGGCAGAGCTGTGCCATTTGAGGTCTTCCTCCTGGGGTCAAGGATCTCACTCCAGGGTACAGGGTGAGCCAGGTTCCCACGGGTGTGAGCGGGCAACAGCACAGGGGGACAGGGACCTTCCCCGGGCCCGGGATATGGTGGGGGCTCGAGGATGGGGAGGTCAGGGGCTGGGGGGCCCTGCTCCCCACGGCAGAGGGGGAGAGGAGGACTGAGCAGCGGGAAGCGGTCCCAGCTCAGCCCTCGGCTGACCTCACCTGAGTTGAGGGGAGGGGACTGGCCTTTGTGGCCCTTTGTCATAGGGTACAGGTGCCCAGGAAGAGGGGGTCTTTAGCCAAGGGGGCCCACGAGGTTGGTGCCACCCAGGCCACACCATCAGCCACTGCGGGAAGGAGCCCTCCATCCCTGCGGGGGCGGGCCCTTGGCGGCTACCGCTTAAGCACCTTTTAGTAACCACCTGGAGCCTTGAAGAGGCTCGCCAGGAGAGGAGCACGGGTGCAAGCCAAATATGACCAAAAGACAAGATCCCAGCGCCTTCCCACCAGGGGGAGCTCGGCAGGGAGGGGGTTGCCGAGGTGGGCTCGTGCAGCCCCTCCTGTTAGGTGAGCTGCGAAGCCCCGTTTCTTTAGCTATACGATGGGGGTAAGCGTACCTGTGCTGTGGGGTACAGGAAGAGGCCCGGCCTCAGAGACCCACCCTCTTGTTCAGGTGGCATTTTGCTCACCCCCGCTCCCCCACGGCCCAAGGCCAGGCCCCTCCTCCTCTCTTGGCTCATGATTTTGGCCAACATGCTGTCCTTAGGTCACCGTCGAGCTGCACGTCCAGGTGGCCAGTGTCTAAGTCACCTGACGTCGAAGGTGCCCTGCAGATGTTACCCTAGTACGAGGGGGGCATTGCAGTGAACAAGTTGCAGACCTGGGGGCGTCCTCAGGGTGAGGAGCGGGTAGTTTGCAACACGCAGCAGTGCAGAGACTCTGAACTCAGTGGGGAGCAGAACGAGGAAAGACTCAGCGTGAGACCCCACCATCCCTTGGCGGGAGCGAGCAGCCGGCACACGGACGTGACTTAGGAGACCGGCCCCGGTAAAGGACCCCGACGCCTCTGAATGGCTGTCTGGAGCGGGTGGGGCGGGATCGCGAGGTGTAGGAACGGGGGTCAGGCAGGAAAACCAGCAGCGCCTGCGCCCCAGAGGACCTCAGGCTGCCCCAGGAGGAGGGGGCGTCTAGGGAAGACCATTTAGAAGTTTCTTAGGATCGATGTGTTTGACGCCATCTTTTCTCTCCACAGCATAACTGTGTCCCTGACTAGCGGCGTAACACACACTCGTGGTTGTAGACAGCTCCAACGGGGAGAAGCACGAGGAAGGAGGAGACGCCCCGAAGCCCCCCGCCTTTCCCGCAACTCTGGGTGGCCCTCGTGTTGCGCACCCATGGACCATGCACCCACATGTGTGCGGTTTGGCACACAGAGGCTGGCGCTGCAGAATCCTCTCCCTTCACAGCGACTTTGGTTACTTTCTCCTTCCCCGGCCAACGCCCCGCTGCCACGCACGCGTCGTCACTGAGACCCGGAGGCTCCGTGGCCACGTGCAATAGCTGTCCCTGCAGAGGGGACGTGTCCGCGGGGCAGCAATTAGACCTTGTGGTGCACACTGCACTGCCCTGGCTTTTCCCACTCACCAAGGTACTCTAGAAGGTATCAAAGCCCAGTTACACTTTTCAATTTACTCTGTGTTATGTATTTTATTATGTCTTAGACTATTCCACCTTAAGCAGCTATCAGTAACCCAAAGGACACCCTTCCTCCTCGCTGCCTCCACCTGGCCCCGTGCACACTCAGACTCAGGCCGCTCTGAGGGAAGTCGTGGTAACGTCTCCCACCAGCTAATGGCAACCGACTTGAGTTCATCTGTATTCTGCATGTCTATGGCTTAAACCCCTATAAAAATGGCTCTAACATTTTAATTTCACTCTTTTAAAATACACATTTAATGGCTGTCACATGAGAGCTGTGGAATAAACCCTTCTGTTAGATATTGTAACTGTGAAATATAGCTTTTTAACTAGTTGGAGGTGAAATTTTTGCGGCCTTCCATCTCTTGATGACCAAATTATTAAACAGGAAGGTGACAGTGTGTAGAAAACGCCTTTCCTACCCCGCAACAGCCAGATGACGACCTGCAAGGTCAACTGCAAAATGACCGTCCCCTCTAATGTGGCAATTACGGTCCTCCCTGACGGCTGCCGCTGACTCGAAGCCAACAATTTCTTTAATTTTCCCGCCTTCTCTGCAAGTTTGGGGAACGTCGTCATGCTCAGCACTGTTGCCTGTGCTCTGATCCCTCCATGGGAGTTAGCGCATGGGCACGTGCCTGGGCGTGGTAGAAGGAAGGTCCCGCCCTCCTCCCTCCCAACAGAATGCTGACCGCATTTGAGGTTGCACTAGGGCAGGTAAAAACTAGCTCCCCAGACTCCTTTGGGGCTACATCGGCCACGTGACACACGGAGAGGGATGCAAGGCAGCGGATGTTTTCGGGGAAGCTGTGCTTTTCCCACGAAAAGGAGTAGCCTTGGCTGCTGTGCTCTGGCCCTTCCGGCCCCTTGCCACCCTGAGCTGGACAGCCGCGCTGAGATGACGCGGACGGCAGGAGAGGACCCGGCTGACGGCCCCCGGGCAGCAGCTGTGGCAGCCCGAGCAGCCTGCTTCTGGGTGGACTGTTCCCTGAGGAAGACGAGCCCCTAGTTGGGTAAGACACTTCCTAGAATATTCCTAGTCAGCTTCCTAGAATATTCAAACACAGTCCCAACTGATATTATGACAGAGACATATAGCTACTTAGTCTGAGAAATGTGCGTTTTTCTCTTCACAACCAAATCGCATTATGGAGTTCACACCATTTCCTACTTTACTTCGGCTGCCAGGAAACTCAGAGCCAAAATTCAAAGCCCAAATAACTACCCTGGAGGCCAGATGGCCTGTGGAGCTATGTGGTACAGATTCCCAGTCTCAGCCTCTTATTTTAAAGTACATTTAAGCTGGCTTTGAATGTTTTTATCTCTATTTTACTGTTACACTGTGGCTGTTTTCCACACATCAGAGTTAGGCACCACTTAACCATGGGGATGTTTTCTGGAAAATGCACCCCTAGGTGATTTCACTGCCATGGGAACGTCACAGAGGAGATTGCGCCGACCAGCAGCTGGAGCCTGTACCCCCAGGGCTGTGGGGAGCCGACCCACAGGACAGGTGGTCCCGGGCGTGCTGTGGCCCACCAGCCCCAAACGCAGAGTGGCTGCATTTAGAAGTTTGTGGAAGGAGGCAGGAGGCACAAAAATGCACCTGCCTTGTAACATGCTCCTATATGATGACGTGGAGTGGCACCTGTGTGCGACGTCTACCTGATGTCCTCGCATTCCCTCCTCACCACACCGCCCCGTCGCCTCCCCCGTCACGCTCCTGTTGAACAGAGAAGCTGCCCAGGCAGCAGCTCCGCCCGCCATGCCCGGCAGGTCCGGCTGAGCTCTCGCGCTTCGGACCCGTTTTCCAGGGGTGTTGCCCACGTTTCTTTCCCTTTCAGAGGACAGCACGCTTGGCCTTCCCAAGCCTCGCCCAGGGAAGGGGCTGGCGCCTCCCGGTGTCTCCCCAGCGGTGGGCAGCGCTGGTGCGTGGGGCCCCTCGACAGCCCTTGGGGTGGACTGTAGGGCCTAGGAGTGGGAAGGTCCCGTCAGAGACTGAGCAAGGCACCCCTCGGCCGCGACAAGTCGGGGCCTCACTCGTGGGGTGCAGCAGAGGTTTCTGAAGACGGCGGGACGCTGACAGCCCCGTGCTCTGGGGCGCTCTCGACAGGCCTGAGGAGGAGCATGGGGCTGCAGAGGGCGCGAGTCCTGGCTGAGGGCAGGCGCTGGCCCCCCTCGTCTGGGGCCGCTGCTGGAACTCGGTTCTGTCTCGAGTTCGGTCCCCACCCCCCCACCCCTGCCGCCATAGATGATCGTCGGGCGCAGTGCATGTGCCAGGCGCTACTTGAGGGACTCGGGTTCAGCCGGTGAATAAGAGACAAAGTCCGCAGCCCACACCCAGCGGGGGACCCAGGGGCCGCAGACTGGGCAGCTGCAGGGGTGGAGATGGCGGCTGTGCGCAAGGGGAAGGCGGGCACCCCGCTGGCGTCTCGCCCCGGCTGCCGGGCGCTCCCCAAGGTGCCGGGACCCATCACACAGAGGAGGCTGCCAGGCGGGCCTGTCGGGGTCCTGAGCGTAGCCCGGGCGGGGGGCGGGGGGTGAGCTCGGTTCTGAGCTGTGGCGCCACCGCCGTTCTTACCCATCTCCCGTCCTTGTCCGAAGGCGGGTTGAAGCGTCTCCCTTTCGCCATGTTCTGCAGGAAGCTGAAGGTGTCTGTGGGGGGCTCCCTGCCCGCTCATCAGCCGCACACATCTGGGGAGCCCTCCTGCTTGGCGCCCCGCTGGTTCTCAGCCTCCCCAGCAGGGAGTCGTCACGGCCACGGAACCAGAACCTGGCCTCACAATGGGCTGCGGCCTTCCAGGCCTTCCAGGCCCTGGTGCGCATCTGCCCCCAGGACGGGAGGCGGGCCACCAGGTCCCACGGGCCAAGCCGTGAGCAGGTCAGGCGGGGGAGGACAACACGGTGTTGAGTCACGCAAGCTCTGTGTTCCCGCCAAGTCCTGGCACTGAAGTGCTGAGCCGAGTGTCCCCATGGAAACCATCTGTCCCAACCTCTTGGTTTTCAGAGAAGTAACCTGAATGGAGGGGAGGCCTGGCTCACGGGGAGCATTGCAACGTGAGATGGCCGACTAGACGGCTGGTTAGTCAGCTAGTCAGGTGGTCAGGCAGCCAGGTAACTAGCTCTTCAACTAGTCAGCTAAATAACTAGTTAGCTAGTTCTCTAATTATCAACCAGTCATATATTAACTCGATGGTTGACTAGTTAGAACGAGGTAGCCTGCTAGTTGACTAGCTAGCCAGCTACCCTCGGAAAGGTTTCTGCCACGAACGCACCCCGTCCCTGGAGAGACCCTCAGAGCCCGCGGGGCCCGGGCTGCCTGGACACTGTGCGAAACATCAGCCTCAGCCTGCGGCTCGCCCCTGGGGACTTAAGCGACGTCCGCCACGTCCACGGTGTAGATGCTCCCACATGGCGGGTTTCAAGCTACTAACATCACTGGGGAGTTCGGGGGAGACACAAGGGTGAGCCTGGCACCCCGCGGCCCAAGCCGTGATCCCAGGCCCCTCCCCCGCAGGCTGCACTTTGGAAGGAACCGAGCTCTCCCCTGGCAGCTCACCCGCCACGGGCCGGCAGGCGTTGCTGCGGCTCCGTAACGGCTTCCTCTCCTGCCCAGGCGGCCCGGGGCGGGACAGGCGTCCAGCCCGCCCTGACCCCGGTCAGCTCAGCGCCCACCACCCGCCCGCCCTCTGAGAAGAGGCCGCTGATAACCAATGTGCAAAGGTTAAGTTGCTGACAGACACTGGAGCACAAGACTGAAACCACAAACTCACCCCAACCTTTCCCAGGTCGGCCTTCCCAGCACAGGAGCGCCTCAGCCGTCAGCCATGGAGAGATGAGCATCGGGGAGCCAGAGGAGGGCCCCCCGAGCCGGGCATCCAGCCGAGGGAGCCAAAGCGCCAGTTCTCTGGAAAAAGCGTCTTCAAGCGTCCCCACGTGGGAGCTGCGCCTTCCGGCCGTGAGCTCCCGCCAAGCCCACGCTCTGCCCTTCACCTGCTTCTCGGCCACTGGCCTCAGCAACTTTGTCCTGAGCCCTGATCCCAACACCTGTGTCACCTCACTCCCTGTCTTAGTCAGCGGTAACTGATTTATCGCTAATCGATTTGCAGTAAAGTTGCTTTCTTCTCTCAAAAACTGGTGTCATAGTCATCGCCTCTGAGCATCCTCGGGGAGTGCGGGGGAGCACATTGCTTTGTGACCCTTAGACTGAATTTCTTTCTATCTTCAAGTGACTTTCTGGGTTCTCCCTGGGGCCCAGGCTGAGCAGAGACAGGTGTTGTTCACTTTTTCTGGACATTTTACTTTAATTTTCCCCACCACCTTTCGTTTACCTTCTTCTGCCTGTGGCTGAAGCAGGTGTTAGCGGTTTGGGGGGGGGGGGGAACTGAGTCCCAGAGCACGCTGTGAGCCGCCCGCTGCTGTCCGCAGCCGGCCCAGGCCAGCGTCAGGCAGGGCACACATGCCGCAGCCGCAGTGGCGGTCGGCTGAGCATCGACGTTGGTGTTTTTATTTTCAGGGGCTCGGATTTCTGGCCCGCACTTTGCAACCTGCCCTTCCGAAAACAAGTCCTGTCGCCTTGGGGCTCTTGCACCCTGAGACTGGGACTCCGGGGGGCCAGCTGGTCCTGCCTCGGGCCTTTGCAGCCTGTGGCCACCTTGATCTACACACTCGGCGCTATTTTCTGGGCATCCGCTACCTGGCTGCACTGTTCTCAAACTGCGCAAATGTGTCGACCAAAACCAGTTCTTTGCTCAGAGCAAATGAGTCCCCCAATACATCTGGGGACCAGGAGCCCAAACGTTTTAGTGATGAACCAAAATCATTTGCCATGAACGATTGGCACCACTTAGAGTCCACTCACCCAGGTATTTTTGACATGACTGCTGCTGTGTGCTTTGAGTTCGAGAACTTTCATGTCCAAGTGTGAAAGATTTTAGGAAAGGCAGGTAGGCCTGCCTCGTCCACGGGGCCAGTGTAGTCTGCCATGCCTTGTTTTAGTTAACAGTCCACTGTCCTCCGCAGGAGAGACAGGCGGAGTGGTGGGTGCGCGCAGGGCTGTCTGCGTGGACCTCGGGACCTCGCATGCAGGTGTTGTCGTTTGTCATTTCACCGGTGAGTTTCATCTCCAGGTTCATATCTACAAACCCTAGACAGTTTTACTTGCAACCGAGGAAAGCCAGCCCACCTGCACCTGGGCCCTCCCTGGTGGTGCAGCGGGTCAAAGCACAGTAGTGGGAAGCTAAAGCCGCTTCCGCATGAGTTCAATCATGCCTGCCCTGGAGGTGACCCACAGGGCGCGGCAGACCTCTCCTGACCATTATATAGGTAAAGATGACCAGACCCTGCTGGTTTAAATTTTCAGAAGCAAAGTGGGAGGCTCCGGGGGCCCATGGTGTTTCCTGGCTGGTTTCTCTCCTGCGTGGGACCTCCATGCTCGCTGGCCCAGCACGGTCGGGGAAGCAGGGAAGCAGAAGCGGATGATGCTTTCCCTGCCAGGCCCTGAAACACGCCATTTCTTTGCAGTTACACAAACGTGCTGCAGTGTGGTCGTCCCAATGTGTCGTTTACATTGCTGCCCCATTGATTTGACCAGGGTCCGGGCAAACAAAAGGAAACGGAGCCCACAGCTGGCAGAACCCCATGCAGCCTCTGGACAGCGGGGAATGACCACCCACCATGCGCCCAAGCAGGCACCAGGCAGTACTGCTCCCCCTGGACCAAGCCAGTTGCTCCACCCATTGCAGAAGGAGATCAAGCTGGGCAGTGAATGTGGGTAACTCATGCAGGAAGAATTCGCCCAAGGTGAGGGTGGATTGATTGGAATTAGTCTTTTCAGAATCAGCGCGAGGGGATGGCAGAGAGCACTCGCCGGACCTAGGAGATTCCAGGGCTCCCCTCAGAAGGCCAGGCAAGGGCTGAGTCAGCCTGCAGGTCTGCGGGGGGGCTGCCCATGGCGTTGTCCCATGGGGGAGGTAGACGCTCCCCGGCGCGGGGCTTCGAGAGCCCGAGCGCGCCTCGGTGTGAGCACAGCTCACCGCCTCCGACGGCTCATTGTTTGGTGGGAGATGGAACCCGCGTTTCACCCGGAGACTCAGGACAGCTTATTGACCGGTTGCCTCTCTGTTCAGCCTATAATATCATTGTTAGGGGAAATGTCAGCGGAGGCACTGAAGGGTGGAAAAACATGAAATCACATTTTTCACATGACAATGGTTTGAATGTTTGCTGGGCTTCTGCTTCCACCAAACGTGGCCGGGGTCCTCTGCAGGCGGATTCCAGCCAGCCAGCCTCATGGAGTGGACGCACTTGAAGAAGTCGTCCTCTCCTCCTCCTCCAAGGAGGAGGTCTGGGACGGGCAGACAGTTTAGCAGTCTCGCTGCAGAGAAATCATTTCCCTAACACCCCGAGCTCCAAGACCGCTTGTATTCTTTCACGAGCCATCTGCTGGGAAGATGCAGCCATAAGACATCTTCCTTCGCTGGCACCATTAAAAGAGATTCTCTCCTTTGAAACGTTGTGTTACATTTACATTCAAAGTTATTTTGCTCTCCCTGTGCCCTTGCCCTCAAGGAATTGTGGGATTTCGAGTTAATAGGCTTTTAATGGTTCTGTGATAACTGTGATTATAAACTGTGAATCGGATCCGGGAGCATCGACGTTAGCAGCTCTGCAAAGACAACACTGTTGCTTTTGATCCTTGGTTGAAATTTGGTTTGCAGCGTTCAGACACCATCCTTCAGAAAGGAAAAAAAAGTTGCAGGCATCTCATTGCTTCACAATTACTTCGATAGCAGTTTGAAAGCCTTGAACTGCACATTTTCCTTTTGATAGATTAGCAGTATTTAGAAACACATCCTGTTGCTAAAAATTAAATTTCCAAGTCTGCAATTGTATTTCCTGCTTCCTTTGGGGGGGGAGCTGCTGGGTTTATTTAAAACACACGCAACATGTTGGATGCGCACCATGCCGTACACACATACCACACACGTCTGCACGCGCGCGCACACACGCCCCCACCTCTCCCTGCCAGATATTTAGAAATAAATATTTGCTGTGTTCTCTGAACATATAATTACTGCTTTGAGGCTAGTTAATGAAAATATACTTTTCTTTGAAACATGCGGGCTCTCTAACTGAGCCCTCCCTTCTGACTCCGTAGACCAAGGGTTGCGCCGTCTTGAGCTAAGGCGGCTTCTGAGCGCTGTCGCCAGATGTCTCCAGCGCGCCCGCCAAGCGGGGCTGGGAGCGCAGCCCCGAAACCTGGAGCGCACCGCAGCCAATTAGGGCCTCGATGCAAATTAGCCCCCTTTTCCCATTGGCCGGCGCAGCTGTGACGTGCGCCGGCTGGCGGCCGTTCCGGGAGCCGCTCCGGCCCATTGGTGCGGGCCTCGCTGACCACCGCAGCTCCCCTCCAGGAAAATCCCGTGGCCACCCTGGAGACAGGTGCCTCGGCTGTGAGGCCGAGGTCCCCAATGGCAGAGCCCCGGGGACTTGGCCTCCAGAGAGATGTCTTGTTCTCAGTTAGGGGCCCCTACTTACCTACAGAGCCTCCTTGGGAAGAAATCCTTGAATTTCTCTCTCTCTCTCTCTTTTTTTAAGATTTATTTATTTGTGCATACAGACCTGGGGTAC